CTCTCTATGGTGAAATCTTTTTTTTTTTTTTTTGCTGAATCTGTTGCTAATGCAGTTGGCTGAAACTGAAGGCCATGATTTTATCTCTGTAATTCACAATATTTATTCGCGCAGGCAAGAGTCAAAAAAGCAAAGCTCCTAGAAGCAATGACAATTTTCTTTGAAAGGTGGTCTCATTACTTTGCTCAAGTTCTGTGTAGCTTAATCTTTTCTGTCATAACATATATGATACTGCATGTGCAGATCTAATAACACTGATGAAGGTGAAAATCAGACAGCTGGTGAAGTTGTCCGGCGATGCAACCTTTGCCATGAATCAGATATGGCGCTCAGGAAGAATCGGGTAGTTATATAATCCATCAAAATCATTTTCTATGCGGGATATGATATGCTCTTCTCCCTCTTGGTAAATGGGAACAACTGATTAAACAATCTAATCCCTTTTCTTGCAGGATGGCAATTTCATGGTTGGATGCATGAGTTATCCTCAGGTCAGAATTTCACAGCACTTTACATACCACATGAATTGTTGCAACATTTTTGCGCTCTGTATTCATAACCTTATTTCTGAAAATTATTACCGAATCATTTGACACTTCATTATTTCTTCTTTTATGCTATCCTTCAGTGTCGAAATGCAGTCTGGCTTCCTGGACCTACACTTGAAGCATCTGTCACTACTGATGTTTGTCAATTCTGTGGTCCAGGTATGGCTCCAGATTTTTCAGTATAACAGTGAACGGAAACCAACAACTATCCGTGAAACATACGCCTTTATAGTTAAATGGTGCATTTTTTTTCTGTAGGTCCTGTCTACAAGATACGTTTCAAGTTCCGTCAAATTGGAATTCCACCAGGCTTTGATATTAATCACTTAGGTATGTAGATTTTTCCAAACATTTGCATCCAACTCTGTGCTTACCTTTGATTGGTTCACTATGTCTGTTTTGCCGCTAATTTCCAGTTTATTTCATCGTGGTCAGGCTGCGTTGGTGGCTGTGATGATACTCTTAAACAGTTGATAGACATCTGTGGAACTGGATCCCGTTCTCAAGGTTAGTGCTTTGTAGTTACACAATAGGTAGTTAGAACAAAGAGTAAAGGAAATTAGCATAGTTTTGTCATCATACAATTATCCTTTTATCATCTTCTGTCCTAAATAAGAATGCAAGAACTTTTAGTATGGTGTGGTGTGTGAGAAATTTAGGCTAAAAAGAATCAATGATTTGTTCTTGTAGCAAGGACAGCTCCAGCTCCAGGAGGTGCATCCTCGAACAATTTCCAAGGAAGCAACATGAGACAGAATAATGCCTGCATTCACTGTCAACAACGAGGACATACTTCTGCCAATTGTCCCTCACGGGTTTCAGGATCTCGAAATCCTTGTCCTACGGGAACAAATCCTAGAAACGGTAATGATCCTTAGCAAACAAAGATCATCTCATTTCTCAATAAGCTTTTGCTAGTATATAGTAAATCACATATCAAGCAAATTGTCTAGATGAAATCTTCCTTATCGACATTTAAGAATATCGTTGTCCTAATGCAGATGAATCAACTACAGTATCATGTAATACTTGTGGAACACCATGTGCTCTTCGTACAGCTAACACAGAAGCTAACAGGGGAAGGAAATTCTTCTCATGTCCATCACAAGGCTGCAATTTCTTCGCGTAAGAATCTCGCGATTTCCCTCTACGAATCCATTTTTTTCTCTTTCAAATCACTGAAATTGCTTTTTGTAATGCTTATGGCAGATGGGAAGATAGCATCAACAACAATACTGGGAATGCAACAACAGGATCTAATAGCGGTGGTAGACGCGGCCGTGGAGGTAGAGGCGGCCAAAGCGGTGGTGGAACAAGCTTCGTCTCTGCAACTGGAGAGCCAGTGAGTGGTAGAAGGTGCTTCTCATGTGGTGATCCTTCACATTTTGCTAACGCTTGCCCTAACCGTAACTCTTAACGGTAACTTTCACTAAGCCTACTTTTCTTAATAAATAATTAATTAGTGTTAATCCAATCATTATCCATGGACTCTAACGGTAATAACATGTTTTACAGTTGTCTTTACTGGAACCAACTTTTCTTGATTGGAGTACTAATTTTAATCGGGTATCGTTCTGCCTTTCTAACATTGGATTTCGTTTTTTTTCCACATTGGATTCATTTAATTGGATACCTTTAATCCTAATTTAATACGAGAGTGATAGATGTATTGTTATTTGTACTTTGATTTATCATAGTGATTAGGTATATAATTGTTTTTATTTAATGGCTACAATAATAATAAACGACTACTTTTGCTCTGGAAATTCATAATTAGCGTAGATCACGGTTAGCTGGATTTTTCAGATATAATATTTCACGTGCTATTCTGAATCGTGCCCACCAGATTATATATCTAATCTCTGATAGTTTTTGATTTAGTAATGTGGTCGTGAGTTATTAATGTGGATCCATTTTATCTCCATTATTTTGTAATGTATTCCTCTTGGTCTTCACTCTCGAGGGATATGATTTTAAATCAAAGATTCGAGTCGTATTAGACTTTTATAAGTACACCATGAAACATTTGAAAGGTAGTATTTTATTTTTTGCTTTTCTTTCTTTCTTCCAACACGATTTCAAAATAAAGGATCGGAAATGTAATCGACAAGATCATCTTTTTGTGAATTTAATATTTAAACGATTATTCATTCCTTTTGTGAAAATAAATGTCATAAATATCTTAGTTTTTGCTTTTACTTTTATAATTCATACATCCCGTGGATTTGAATCTAGACGGTAATATTTATAAATTTATCTTTGGCCAATCTTTATCTTAAAATAATTGACACCTCAACTTTAATATTTATAAATATATATCTTTGGCCAATTTTTTTTTTTAAATTACTTTGGCCAATATTGCGTGTGTTAATAGAATTGAGATTCGTCTCTCGAAAAATCCTCAAATCAATGCAATATCTTAGATTCTTTTAGTGGAAGGCTGTTATATGCAAAATTTTTACCTAACTCGATCGTTTTAATAAAGCGATGCTTTTAAGAGACAATCTAAAGAATAATCTTAGTTTCTGTTTTGCTTTGTCGTTCCCAAATCCCAATGTAAAATGGATAATATATTATTACTATAATTGAAATTTGATTACCTACCTCATATGATAAACCCGTGGTAGTCCAAATGATTTATTAGAAAATCTCTGTACTATTTACATTTTAACCCATCCAAATATACTTTTCACAATGTGATTTCCTTAAAATACATTTCCGAAAAAGAAAAAAAAAAAACAATTCTCAAACAAATTTTCTTCGTTTCTTCGATGTTAACTAAACAAAAATATGTTTCACATGATTTGACAATACCTACCAAAATATTAGGAAAAGTATTTAGAAAATCAAATTAAACCATATATAACAAAGACAATTTGGTCTTCACCGACGAATCTATTCTGTCCACTACTTTAATCTACTAATTTCTATTTCAAAGTTTCTTTTTTTTTTAAACATGAAGGAGTTAGCTACACTTTACTTAAAAAATGATTTATGCATGATTTTTTTTTGTTTGTGTGTGGATGAGACATGTACGATAATGACATTTATTATATAACTAATTACTAATAAATTGATTACCAAAAAAAGAAAATTCAATCCATAATTAATGAGACAAATTCAAAGGAAGAAGTTAAGATAAAGTAGGGAGAAAAAAAAAATTTAAAGGAAAAGAGATTCTTCTGTCCAGTAAAAGAGAATGAATGATAGTGATCTCCATTATTATTCCTCCTCGTGCTTAGTTTAATTATTTTCCTTTTTGTTTAAAGGGAATAATTAATTAATTATCACAAAATAGTAATAATCGGATCATTAAAGTAATCAACGGTCCAGATTCATTCAAACCAGAGGACACAAAACCA